AGGTGGAGGTGATCTTCTGGTGCAGCATGACTCAGCAGTTTGGAGAACAGGCACACAATCCTACACATTATGTAACCATGCCATGTGAGGCACATTAGGTGATCACCCCCGTGAGCTCATGCTTGTCTCAGAGCCACTATTGTCTAAAGAAGGTGCAATTACTCTGCTAACTCTGTACATATACCTCGCTTGCGCCCAGAGAGAGAGTAAAGCTGTCAGGTCTCCATGTGCAAGCCTGGACCCAGAAAGCCGGAAGTCCTGCCTGCCTTCCTGCCTTCCTGCCTTCCTGCCTTCCTGCCTTCCTGCCTTCCTGCCTTCCTGACTTAGTGTCTTTGGCTCCCTAGCTGCTGTTCTCACACTGTATGTAGGGTGCCACATAACGAAGTGACCACCCACCGCTATGGTGGCTCTCAGGGAAGCAGAAGGCCATCGGTGGGACTGAGGGGTTCGTGCCATAAAAAAGGGGAAGGTGCTCTGCATGCAGGGAGCTCCTCCACAGGAAAAAGTGGGGCCCAAAGAGTGACACACTCACAGATGTGGATAGATTTGATGTTGGCCAGGATTGACTGAGAGAAAATTAATAAGCAACCAAGTGAAATACTCTTAACTTTGTAGTAACTCCTGTGTCCGGAGCAGCAGTTCCAGAAAATGCCCAAGGGGGAGAAGGACATTGCTATGTGACCTGGTCCCAGCTGGGTGCTTCAAAGACCACTTGCTGCAACTAGGTGGAAATGTAGAGCCTTTTGTGTTTGATTAGGGAACTGGCCAAGGTGCCCAGCTTTGTGGGGGACACTGAATGACTGGAGGCCACATGTTGAATTAGCGAGCCACTGGTCCCCACCAATGTACAGCAGGTGCTGGTGCTTGTAAATACTGATGTAGATTGCAGCCTTGTTTATGGAAACCCAGATACGTTTCTGGGCTTACGTAACGTAACTGCTTACGCTGACAGTTATAGAGGATGGTCAGTGAAAGTGAAGTCTCTATATCCGCACTTTGGCATAGGCTGTTAGGCTTCCCATTTATACACTGTGTTTGTCTCTCCCATACTGAAATACATTCTGGAGGTAGACATTTTACATGGTCTGGTGTTACAAACCACAGCTGGGGAATTCAGTCTTTGAGTGCATTTGGTAAAGCCAGTGCTGTGTGGACATACACATCACCAGCCTCGGGTCCTGCCACAACCCCGAAGGTTACTTTCACCCATTGATACAATTTACCACATGGGCATATGGAGATAACTGAGACAATTAAAAAGCTGAAGGAGGTGCAGAAGGTGCAGATAGTGAGTGGCACCCACAGCCCTATAATTCTTGAGTGTGTCCAGTTAGAAAGGCTGATAGAACTTGGTGGATGATAGGTGGACTATTGGAAACTGAATAAAGTAACACTCCCTTTGCATGTAGCTGTACCATCAATCCTGGATGTGATGAGTCATTTGACAATGGAAATGTAGTGGAGTTGGCCAATGCATTTTTCTCCATAGGCATCACTCCAGAGAGTCAGGAACAGTTCACGGTCATGTGGGATGGGCGACAATAGGCTTTTACAGTGTTGCTGCACGGCTGTATGCATAGCCCCATTGTATGTCATAGTTTAGTTGCCATGGATTTAGCCACCCGGCAATGTTCAGAATAGGTCCACCTATTTCATTATATTGATGATGTTATGTTAACCCCTGATTCTCTTGAAGATTTAGAAGTGGTGGCACTTCTCTTGCAGCAACATTTGGCAGTATGTGGTTGGGCTGTCAAGGCACCCAAGGTCCAAGGGCCTGGATTATCTGCCAAATTACTGGGAATTATCTGGTTGGGTAAGACAAAGGCCATCCCAGGAGCTAGCATTGATAAGACTCAGGCTTATCCCTAGCCCACCACAGTGAAGCAGTTGCAAATTTCGTGGGCCTCCTGGGATATTGGTGAGCATTTGTGCCCCATTTAGCTCAAATGACAAAACCACTGCATGGGTTAACAAAGGAGCTATTTGGGATTGGGATGATGTGACTGAGACCACTGCCAACCAGGCTATTCAGCGGTTACAAGCCCTACGGGTGGTTGACCAGGGACACCCATTTGAGCTGGATGTGCATGTGACCACAGATGGTTTCAGTTGGGGCCTGTGGCAGCACACGGAGTGCTTGCAAACACCAGTAGGCTTTAGTTCCCAACTATGGAAGAGAGCTGAGCTCCAGTATTCTTTGATAAACAGCTAGCTGCTGTATATACCATCCTTCAGGCTTGTGAGAGTGTGACAGGACAGACTGCAGTCATTGTGCAGATGACTTATCTCCCATAGCGGGATGGGAGTTTTCATGAGTAATGTCTCCCTGGACTGGGGCAGTGCAGACATCCACTTCGGCAAAGTGGAGCACCTACTTGAAGCAGCCAAGTATGCTGAGTAAAAGCCCCTTAGCAGCAGAGTTGCAAGAGGTCTTGGGACCGGTAGTCCTAATGCAAGATAAGGCCATGGTGCCTGAGGTGCCCCTTGCACCCTAAACTTTCACCATTTAAGGAAGGGTGTCTCCCTATTCCTGTTGGGGCATGGTACACAGGTGGGTCTATCTGAGGAGCTACTGCTGCCTGGACCACTGTTCCAGGGCAACCTAGTACTGACACCATATGGTTTGAAACCAGGTGTGGGCAGAGTAGCCAATGGGCGGAACTCAGAGCAGTGTCATGGCAATCACAAAGAAGGTGACACCTGTGATAATCTGCATCAATAGCTGGGCAGTCGAACGAGGCTTAACTTTGTGGTTAACTACTTGGAAAATACAGAAATGGCTAGTTGGTCACCGACTCATTTGGGGCATAGCAATGCGGCAAGACCTCTGGGAAATGGGTCAAGAAAGATGTAACTATTTATCATGTGTCAGGCCATATGCCTTTGGCCACCCCCAACAATAATGAGGCAGATACCTTGGCCAAGGTCCAATGGTTAGAGACAGAACCTACACGCGATTTGGCCTTGTGGAAGCTGGGACATGTGGGGGGTAAACTGATGCAACAGGTCAATAAGCACTAGGGTCTGTCCCTGCCCACCCAAGATATCTGGGAGGCTTGCCAGAAATTCCCCACATGTGCTTAGGCATACACTGAATGGAGACAACTGCCCAGTGTTACACAAGTAATGATAAGGCAAGTACTCTTGACCCGGGATCAAGTAGACTACATCAGGCCGCTGCCAAAGTCGTAAGGATACATGCATGTGCTAACAGTTGTGGACATGGCCACAGCCCTGACATTCACCTACCCATGCATGGTCGCCTACCAACAGCACACCAGCCAGGCCCTGCCATACTTATGTACCGTGTATGGTCATCCTTTGGCCATTGAGAGTGATAGGAAAACACATTTCACTGGACAAGTACAACAATGGGCACAACAGATGGACATAAAGTAGGGATTCCATGTGCCATACAACCCGCAAGCTGTGGATATGATTGAACAATGTAATGGGCTCTTGAAGAATGGGTTATGCTTGCTTGTCACACTCCAGTCTTTGTGAAGCTGGAGTTCTAGGCTGGACCTGGTGCTCTAGGCGTTGAATGAATAGTACAGGAAGGTGGCCAGGTCCCATGGAGGCTTTGTTACACTAGGCTGCCACCCCCATTGAGTTACAGATACACACCAAGGATGGCCTTCTCCAACCAGGTATGGGGACAGATGGTAACCTGTTGTTGCCTGTCCCAATACCCCTGAAGGCAGGGGAACAGAATACCTGGCTGTGGCCATGGACCCTCCGAGCCTCCTGTTGTTGGTGGTTGGCCATTGCAGCTCCCTGTGGGGAGAGCCTACAGTATTGGCTTGCATGTCACTCCTTGGGCATTCAATACATGGCCCCCATGGGTGACTGTTCGTAGGGGAATGACCAGGGAAGAAACTCTCATCTGGGGGACATATACACTGTCTGTGTGCCTATTATGAGCTCCCCCATGACTTTGGCATGGATACAGGACTCAAAGGAACCATGGGTAGCTGAGAAGGTGTGGTGCCATCAACCAGGGCAAAAGCCTTTGGCAACTGCATTGTGATACAGGGATGAAAGGTTAGCCTGTATTTTGCCTGAGGGATGTGATTTATCTCTATTAGTACCTGTGCCTGCTCTGTCATTTTGACCATAGCTTAACATGCTTCCACTGCATTTCGGACTGGGCCCACACCTGTGTGGAGGTGACCCATGTTTCCAATGTTGGATCTGCACTGCCCCACTTCCAGCAGCAGCTGCAGATGGCTTGCCTCGGCACATACATTCAACATCTGCAGAGAGTTGCACATGGTTGGAGACTGTCTATGATTCCTCCAGTACTTTTCCAGCTACCTGCCAGTCCACCACTGACAACCCTCGGACTTCAGTTAGAACCTGATATATGTATTTATTTACATATACTGCTCAAAGGAATTTGTTCTGAATGAAGTAGTTGTTTTAAAGGAAATAAACACTGAGAAAATTGATCCGTTGCTTTATATCAAATTAAGTATATTCTAAGCTGTTTAGTGTTTTTTTTTTTTTTTTGTAGTATGGGAAAATGGGCCCCCAAACAATATTTTATCAATAATATTAATTATATGCAAACACCATAAATAGAACAGTGTTGACAAAAAAGCCTGAGACTCAGATCTTAGCAAATAATTATGGGTAGTTTGGGGGGAAAATTGGGGCTAAATTATAAGACTTCTACCCCAGAGATTCAAAGGCATATAGTTTCTGTTATTCTTTCATAAAATATATGTGTATTTTAGATATTTTTTTCTCTTCATAGAAGCGAAAATTACTCAACTATGCAGGTTTATGCAGGTATAACTTACCTTACTACAAAAGCCCTGCTTCTGCGAACTGAAACTCACATTAGTTTTTTGTTTTTGTTTTTGTTTTTGTTTTTTTTGTTTAATAAGCAATCAGTCTATTTTTCAGCCTTAGCTGGAACTAGTTTACTAGAAATTCAGAGAAATGTAATAGAAACACATGATTTCTGATGCAATTTTACCTTGGTCTCCTAGATTGTAAAACAGTAGAAGACTGAAGGATTGCAGAGTGCAGAGCAACAGGAAAACTTGTCCAAGACCCACCGAGCTGTAATCTTCCTTAGACTTCCTCTTTTTTTGCTGCTACCCTGTAGTGTGATCAGCTTGAATCTGGAAGCCAGCTGTCTCGGGCACTGCTGGAGAGGTGATACCTCATCCCTGTGGCCTTATATTTTCCTCTTTCCATCTTTACTGCTTCCTTTGGGGGCTTGAAGATGTTTTGCATTAGAAGAAATGGAACCTAAGGGTTGATTTGACATGTTAGTTTTAGAGTCTGTGTTCCAACTACGTCACATTAGGGTCTAACAGTTCAGGGGTCTAAGCAAAATATCATAACTCAGTGTTAGTTTCTTTTAAGCCTAATTGAAAATTAGAATCACCCAGGGAGATTCTGTGCCCTGGCTCTACTTCTAAATGTTCTGAATTAATTGGTTTCAGGTAAGGCCAGACAGGCTTCATTTTTAAAATCCTCCAGGTGATTCTAATATACTACCCAGGTTAAAAATGTCGCAGTTCTTTTAACAAGACCTTTAGAGCTCTATCAACAAAACACAGTGTGCTCTATATAGCAAGGTATCCTTGTAGTTACTTTATGTGCTCCTAGAAATCATAAGAAATTAATGACAAAACTGTAAGATTTTTACTGATTATAAACTGTAATTGTCCTGCCAAAAACGTTTTGACAGAATGTTAAGTATATGTAATATTAGCCTTACTAAGTCTATTGTCCATCCAGAAGTAGCAGGGTACTTTATATTTGGTTCTAGAACTACCCAAGCAGAACCTATCCACCCATATATAATGTTTAATTTTTCTCTTTGTATTTTCAGTCAAGATGAATAGAGAGTTTAGTTGTTGCATTATTCTTCTACTTAATATTATTTTACATGATCCAATATACTTTTGAAATATTTGAAATGATGTTAAGCATTTTCCTATTAGATAATTTGCTTCTATAAAATTTTTTTTGTTATAAATATGACAGTGATTAAGTCATTTTAAAAATTGGCTACATCAGTAATTTTTTTCCCTCTCATATAATCAAAATATATAAATACCTTACAGAATCATAACATGTATTTCAAAATGTCTTTTTTAAAAAATGAGTGTCATTATAGTATGCAAATTAGAAGATAGATGGAAAATGATACTTCATTATTCAATTGATTGGCTTTTATTAATATATGCTTGTTTACTAGCATATTTATATTTTTATTTGTAAAGTTACTGGTCATTTGCAATAGTTTAATCATGTATTGTCTGCTTCTATATCTCATTAAGTAACTCTTGAAATTTTAGTGTCACTTAATACACTTGAAAAGTCTCTATTTCCATTATTTTTTCATTTTTAACCAAATGTATTACCAAAATTCTTCTCATATATTCTTAATGTATTTTAAATGTCTACATTTTTGTGTTGTATAAACACTATGCTTATATTTGCCCTTTCCTATGTTATTATAGTATTTAGAAAAGCCTTTAAGATACTACAATCAGATGCAGTGCTAATTTTATTTGTATGCAGATGTTTTTTATAAATTGTTTTTCTCAATACACGTGAAAACTATTTAGGTGTATAGTTTAAAAAGAAACTGTAGATTGATACCAAAACCATTTAGTAAATGACCGCTTTTCCTCTTCATGTTGAGAGACTGCAAATGATTTTTTCTTCTATAAAATCGCACGGTCTCTGGTGTTCTATTGCAACATATTTTTGGATAAACAGTCCCAGATGTAAGATGGTTTGACTTATGATGATTATTTTTCCAAAATATTAAGATTTTCTTAGAATTCATAGATAGCTCAATGCAGGCATCCATTAGGGATTGATGTGGTCACCAATTCTTTTTTTTTTTTTTTTTTTTGAGACAGAGTTTCGCTGTTGTTACCCAGGCTGGAGTGCAATGGCGTGATCTCCGCTTACTGCAATCTCCGCCTCCTGGGTTCAAGCAATTCTCCTGCCTCAGCCTCCTGTGTAGCTGGGACTACAGGTGCGTGCCACCATGCCCAGCTAATTTTTGTATTTTTAGTAGAGACGGGGTTTCACCATGTTGACCAGGATGGTCTCCATCTCTTGACCTTATGATCCACCTTCCTCGGCCTCCCAAAGTGCTAGGATTATAGGCGTGAGCCACAGTGCCCGGCCAGTCACCAGTTCTTAATTGCCTTTGTTACTTTCTATGCCAGCCAGAAAAATAGAACTGATCAACTTCTCTTCTCTAGCCCTATTAGGGTTGAGGGAAACATTTGGAAGTGTGTGTAGCATAAGATGAAAGTCTTTTCAAATCCTTAACAATAGATCTATATGTTATATTACTCCTAGAGAATGGAGTTTTCCATATTTGTAAGTATTACACAAAAGAAAAACTTCCATCATCTGTCATATATATAACCATAGCACCAGTGGTATTAAGTAAATATCTATGGGTGTATGTTTGAATGAGTGATCACGTATGTTTGATGTCTCCATTAAATTCAAGGAAAGTATAACTTATTAAAAGCAAATGTGAAAGAGCAAAACCCAGCAAGGTGTTACATTTTGATATTTCTTTTTTTGTATAGGTCTACTCTATGAGACAGTGAGAATATAATCCCTATATTTCCCAAGCAATAAATTTGTCTTTTAATCATAGAATAATACAACTGTTTTTTTTAAATGTTAATGAGCAAATATGAGATTATGTGAGTAGGTAGGTAATCTATAAACATAAAAATTATATCCATGGGAGAGGATATAATTTTCCCAAATTACAAGTTATTTAAATAACAGACAAAATGAAAGTGGAGAAGGAAAGTAAATAATCCAATTTAAAGCTGTTGTGATAGAGATGGAAAATCAAGAGTGAAAATCCACACTGTAGCAACTAATCACCAAGATACAACACCAGGTTTAAACAGCAGTGCATTTTGTTGGGTATAATATGCTGAAGTCTCAAAAACGTCTGTCAATAATCACGGCCCTAATTTCTGAAAACCCTGTCATTACTGATGAAATGTTAAAGTTACACCAGGCTCATGGCTCATGGCTGGGCACAGTGGTTCATGACTGTAATCCCAGCATTTTGGGAGGCCGAGGTGGGCAGATGACTTGAGTCTAGAAGTTCAGAACCAGCCTGGCCAATGTGACAAAACTGCATCTCTACTAAAAATACAAAAATAAGAAAATTAGTGGGGCATGGTGGTGCATGCCTATAATCCCAGCTACTCAGGAGGCTGAAGAGAATTGGTTAAACCTGGGAGGCGGAGTTTGCAGTAAGCTTAGACTGTGCCACTGCACAGCAGCCTGGGTGATAGAGCAAGACTCTGTCTTGGAAAAAAAAAAAGAGTTAAATAATTTTGGATTGAGACACAATCTTCATGAAGAGCCTGTTCTGTAAGCATACAGACATCTAGAAATACTTTAGAATATGAATTATAAGCAACCCGATAGCAGTGTTTTTGGTCAGGTGGCTAGAGTTACAAAACGGTAATGTCCATTTACCGTCCTTTTTGAAGCTGATCTGAACTAGATTAATTGAATTTTCAATTTTAATTGAAATTTAGTTTTATTTTGCAAAGACCCAAATGTCTGGGCCAAATAATGCCATACGCCTCAATAACGTGTGTTTTAAAGACTTGCTTTAAGCCTGGAGGAAAAACGTAAGATAAACAACAGCACTTTAAAGATTTAGCAGTAGAAATATTGGAAAGAGGGATACTTCCATAGGATTCCAATATGATACCAGTCACTGATCAAAAAGAAATGTTCTTAGATAAGCCCTCATTTTAAGATTCTCTCTGCTTTAAAATCATAGAGTTAATTATTCAGTTATGTAGCCATACAGTTTACACCTATTAATCGAACATTTAGTCAACATAAATATGTTTATGAAGCATTAACTGAATGATACGCAGGAATTTATTCCAAAATCCAGTGATTTCCAAGCAATCATTTACGGGACAAAGCCATTCCAAAAAAGAAGTATCCATTGACTCAGGGTAAAATGAGTAAAGGAACATACAATGCTGTGATTATTTTTGTAAGTAGATATGTTCAAACTATTAACAAGGGTTTGGCATTTTTTTCTCAATCAGAAAAGAAAAATATTGACCCTCTAAACATAGTATTAATTTAATAAAATACATAAATTGGAATAACATTTAAATAAATTACATGTGAAAGGAAAATACCTATCCTGTTGAAATCATTTGGCCACTCTGTATCCCCACCTAAATCTCTGGTTGAATCATAATCCTCAATATTGGGGAGAGACCTGGTGGGAGGTGTTTGGATCATGGGGACAGTTTCCCCTTATTCTCATGATAGTGAGTGAGTTTTCATGAGATTTAGTTGTTTGGAAATGTGAAGCAGTTTCTCTCTCTCTCTCTCTCCCTCCCCCCCCCCTTTCTCTTTTCCTCCACCATTGTGAAGATGTGCCTGCATCCCCTTCACTTTCTACCATGATTGTAAATTTCCGGAGGCCTCCGTTGCCATACTTCCTGTACAGCCTGCAGAACTGTGAGTCAAATTAATTCTATTTTCTTTATAAATTATCCAGTCTAAGGTAATTCTTTAGAGTGGTGTGACAAAGGATTAATACAGAAAATTGCTACCAGAGAAGTAGGGCATTACTTTAAAGACACATGAAAATGTAGAAGCACCTTTGGAACTGAGTGGAGAGGGTTGGAACAGTTGGGATGACTCAGAAAAAAAACAGGATGATGAGGGAAAGTTTGGAACTTTCTAGAAATTTGTTGAATGGTTTTGACCAAAATGTTAGTAGTGATATGGACAAAGATGGCCATGCTGATGAGGTCCCTGATGGAGATTAGGAACTTATTGAGAACTGGAGTAAACACCACTCTTGCTATGCTTTAGTAAAGAGGCTAATGACATTGTGTCACTGCTCTAAATATCTGTGGAAATTTTGAACTTGAAAGAGATGATTTAGGGTATCTGTTGGAAGAAATGTCTAAACAGCCAAGTGTTCAAGAAGTAAGCTGGCTGCTTCTAACAGCATGTTCTTGCATGCATTCACAAAAAGAAGGTCTGAAGTTGGAACTTATATTTAAAAGTTAAGGAGAGTCTAAAAGTTTGAAAAACTTGCGGCCTGACCATGTGATAGAAAAGAAAAATCAAATATCTGGGGAGAAATTCAAGCCAGCTGCAGAAATGTACATGAATACAGAGGAGCCAAATGTTAATTGCCAAGACAATGGGGAAAATGTCTCCAGAGCATTTCAGAGACCTTTCCAGCAGCCCCACCCATACAGGCCTGGAGACCTACAAGGAAAAATGGTTCCATGCACTAGGCCCAGGGTCCCACTGCTCTGTGCAGCCTTGGGACACAATGCCTGCTTCCCAGCCACCCCAGCTCCAGCAATGGTGAAAGGGACCAAGGTACAGTTTGGGCCATTGCTTCAGAGTGTGCAAGTCCCAAGCCTTAGTGGCTTCCACGTGGTGTTGGGCCTGAGGGTGCACAGAAGGCAAGAGCTGAGGTTTGGGAACCTCTGCCTAGATTTCAGAGGTTGCATGGAAACAACTGGATGTCCAGGGAGAAGTCTGCTGCAGGAGCAGAGCCCTCATGGAGAACCTCTACTAGGGCAGCATGAGGGGAAAATATGGGATTGAAGATCCCACACAGAGTTCCCACTGGGGCACTGTCTATTGTAGCTGTGAGAAGATCCTTCAGATCCCAGAATGGTAGATCCACTAACAGCTTGCACCGTGTGCTAGGACAGGCTGCAGGCACTTAATGCCAGCCATGTGAAAGCAGCCTCAGGTGCTGTACCCTGCACAGCCACAGGGAAGCAGCTGCCCAAGGCCTTGGGAGCCCACCTCTTTCATCACTGTGGACCCGATATAAGACATCAAGTCAAAGGATATTATTTTGGAGCTTTAAGATGTAATGACTGCCCTGCTGGGTCTTGTAGTTATATAGGGCCTGTCGCCCTTTGTTTTGGCTGAGTTCTCCTTTTTGGATAGGAGCATTTACCCAATGCCTTTATGCCCATTGTATTTTGGACGTAACTAACTTGTTTTTTATTTTATAGGCTCATGGGTGGAAGGGACTTGCCTTCTCTCAAATGAGACTTTGGACTTGGGACTTTTGAGTTAATGCTGAAATGAACTAAGACTTGGCAGACTGTTGTGAAGGCGTGATTATGTTTTAAAATATGAGAAGTACAAGAGATTAGGGAGGGGCCAAGGCAGAATGATATGATTTGGCTCTGCATCCCCAGCCAAATCTCTTGTTAAATTATAATCCTCAGTGTTTTGGAAGGCACCCTGCGGGAGGTGATTGGATCATGGGAGTGGTTTTCTGCGGCTGTTCTCATGATGGTGAGGTGGGTTCTCATGAGATCTGGTTGTTTGAAAGAGTGTAGCACTTCCTCCTATGCCCTGCTCTCTCTTCTGCTTCATCATTGTGAAGATGTGTCTACTTCCTCTTTGCCTTCCATCATGATTGTAAGTTTCCTGAGGTCTCTCCAGCCATGATTCCTGTACAGCCTACAGAACTGTGAGTTAATTAAAGCTCTGTTTTTTTTTTCTTTACAAATTACCCAGTCTCGGGTAGTTCTTTATAGCAGTGTGAGAACAGACTAATATATCTGTAAGTAAAATAAAACAAAAATTAAGCACATAAAAATGAAGATAGTGCAAAGGAGAGGAGTATAGCATTTAAAAGGAAATAAAGCAGTAAATAAACAGATAAAAGTATGTATAATAAAGCCATTTTCCTTAACAAAGGTAATGATTGTAGATACTGCATATATATATTACATATGTATCTACTATGTATATCCCTACCATATATATCTACTATATATCTATCTATACTATATATATATAGTAGAGTATTGTATATACATGTATCTACTATATATATATGTCTACTCTCTCTATATATATGCACTATATGTTTATTAAATATATATCTGTGTCCCTTCTTGGCCATTCTATTGACTTCCTTCATAAGTAAAATTCAATATTACTGTTCCCTGATGTCACAAATCTTGGGATCTATTATTATACATCATGTAAAATCTGAAATTAACTAGATTACTGTTATAATATGAACATAATTTATCTTTAATAAGTTAAAACTGATTTGCCATATTTGATGTTAATGAGTGTTATAGGGAAGAGCTCTAAAGTAACAATTACTAGATTGAAATTAAGAATAATTTTCTGAGCATTGTTAGCAATATTACATCACATGTATCATATGTCCTCTTGTAAAGTATGAGAGAAATATCTCTGGTTCTCAACATTTCTTTAGCTGTTGTGATGCTATAATAAAACATTTCTTAATTACATTGCACTGTGATGCAGGTGTGATATAAACCTATATTTGCTTAATTCATTTAATGTAAATAAACTAACTGTTTTTCCGACCTCATTATAGTATGTGGTTTCAATAAAATAGTTTTTTGCATTTTTCCTATGGCCCTGCAGAACTCATGTTATTTTAGTATTGGTTGAAAATACTATCCATTACAACAGATAACTAGGAGGGCAGTGCAGGGAGGCATGGTAAACTTATGATTTCCCCAGTTTTGATTTATTGATCAAAGTGAATAAGCTCATGATCTGTGGTTTCATTGTGATAAAAAAAAAAAACTGTCATTATATTCTATAATATCATTTTATAATACTTTTGATACATTATCTTCTTTTTATTCCAGTTATTCAGATACTGGCACCCATTGTCCACCAAGCCTGGGACCACATAAAACAGTCCGTTTGAAATTTCCATTGACCAAACTTAATCTTTGTGGCACAAGGGATGTCTACAGCTTTGCCTTTCCTAAGAAAAACCAGTTAATTTTAGAACCACAAGTATTTTCCAAGAAACACTCCCATAATCACATCATCTTCTTGGCATACCTTCCCTTTCATCACTGAGAATTGCCAGTCTGTAAGTGGGATGTTTATGTATAGAAGAAATCTACATGGAATAAATGAAATAATATAGTTTCAACTCCCCAAGGTAATTATTCAGAAATCTTAGTTCTGATTATGTAGGTTCATAAAGTAATAATAAGTAAATAGATGTGAGTCAAAATCGTATGTCTTCTTTAGAAATAGTAGTTTTATCTTGGAGGTAATCTTCCAGTTACTGCCATTTGCTGCTTTATAGACTTAGCCTCTTTGAAAGGTTGGTAAAAGAGGAAAGATGATTATCAGTTTCTTCCGTGATTTGCTCAGATTTCTCTTTAAAAAGTGGCTGTCTCAAATGGGCTGCTGAAAAAGAAGCAGCAGCCAATATTAAGATATATATGTGACTGTATGTGCACATATGTACACACCCTATACACTCATATGCTCATTAGTTTGTATGTTGCACACTAATAAACTTAGAACACTATGGAAATTTCTCAGAGGCCTTAATTTATGAGAAAAAATGACTACACATTCCTTCTTCTCACATGATTACTGGACCATGGTACATTTTCCTATTACTGACTGTGTTGATAGTTTATTGCTGACAATAGCTATCTACTATGCTTTGCCAACCTCTGCTGATATTTTAATTGCTTTTCTTTGTTTTTATAAATAGTTGAAAGTTTTAAGATAAATAGCAATTAAATTATACAAATATGTTCAGTGGTAATCATCAGACTTTTCTGCGACAAGCCAAATAATGAGACTTTGACAGTATTTAATGAGTTTATATTCCATTAAATTTAAATTACAGTAGAAACATTTTTTTCAGTGCTAGATTATAGCAAGTGCAAAATTCAGAAGCAACTCATATTAGTCTATGTAGAACAGACCATTATTATTGACATTATGAACATTTCCAGCATAAGGTGACAAAAGCTAGCTTTTTTCAGAATCAAGTGAAGTGGAGATTTTACAGTGATTAGGTTTAAATTTGCAACATATTGAAAATTGTTTCAACTATTTCAGATTTTGCCAACAAGTAAATGTGTTACTTATTTCTAAATTTGCACTTGATTTTTATTTAATAATAATTGTAGACTAATGAAAGGCATTATAAAATATCCTTAGTTTGTTAGGGAGAGAGTAAAGTGGCAATGTCAAAGCACATGTGAAGTTTTATGTGTAGAAATCTCATTTATGTACATCTCATTTATATATGTCTCATATATATGTCACATATATGTATACATAGGATAAGATAATTTTTGGCAAAGCACTCCTCTGTAAAATCCATGGTTAATTATCTTTATGTCATGTTGTCTCCTGGACAATTCATATTTCTTTTCTCTGTCTGATCAGACTCAGTCTCATGTCTGAGGTCAAACCAAGACTCATCTGTTCTGTCAAAATTATATGGAGTACACGTCAAAACATGAAGTGTTTTCTTCTTTTCCATTCCTTAACTACTTCCTATAAATTGTACATATGTTTAAGGTGCTTCATTATTGCCAAGCTCTCAACTAAATGAGTTACTGTTATTTAATATTCACATGGTTTATTTTGTCATCCCTATAGAAATATACATTCTTGGCAGTGATTGAATAAAAAATTCTGTATCTTTTCATAGGAATTATTCAATGTCTCTTTCATGGCGTTCATGCAAGACATATTTATTGCTTTGATATTTTTTGGACAGATGACTGATGAATTTTTTAACATGAAGCAATTGCCAGAAGCAGGAAAAGAAGGATGGATCTTTCCTTAAATTCAGAATGTCAGGTGTATTTAACCAGTCAATATATATCTAGCCTTATTAGTAGGTCTTTTAAACTAAAACCATTTAATTTAGGGATCTATAGTACCATTTCTACCACTTCACTAAGCACTAAACTAAACAAACAATTACTGAAAGCAATTTTAAAAGAACTGAAAAAGACATGTTATGAAAATACATATCTAAAGATCTTTGTGAATATGCTTCCTTATTCAAATTGTTATTATAGTCCATATTTAATTAAATTTAAATTCAATTTGCTGTTAAATATTAACTTTAATTAAAATATTAAAATTACAGCCAGGTGTAGTGGCTTACATCTGTAATCCCAGTACTTTGGAAGGCTGAGGCAAGTGGATCATGATGTCAGGAGATCGAGAACATCCTGGCTAACACGGTGAAACCAAGTTTCTACTAAAAAATATATATATAAAAAATTAGCCAGCCATGGTGACAAGCACCTGTAGTCCCAGCTACTCAGGAGGCTGAGGCAGGAGAACCCAGGAGGCAGAGGTTGCAGTGAGCCAAGATTGTGCCACTGTACTCCAGCCTGGGTGACAGAGTGAGACTCCCCCATCTCAAAATAAATAAATAAATAAATAATTAAAATTACTTATATTTTTTTAGAATGATGCCATAAAAGGAACATGTTTCTTGTATTCACAATATCAGAATTTGAGTTCTTGCTATTCACTTCTGTAAATGTATATCATGTAGTCAATCTGAACCTCAATATTATAATCTATACTATTAAAATTTGATTACTATCTACCCATTATCATTGCCAATTATGTTTCTTCATGCTTCTTTTTCAAAATTAAGAGAAAATATTTGAAGTTGTAGTTATAAAAATTTTTTTTTGAAAGAATATAGCTTTTCCTCACTGCCAACTGTATTGAATACCTTTTCTCCTTTTGAAATTCTTGTCAGTTTTGCTGGTGTATGTAAAGATTTCATGAGGATTTTTCATGAGCCTGACATTATTCTGAGTGCTTTGTAAAACTATTAAAGCAGTTAAGCCTCATCTCAACTTCATGAAATACTTAACTAATACATATATATATATATATATATATGTTTTTTGAGACAAAGTCTCACTCTTGTCCCCTAGACTGGAGTTCAATGGCACAATGTTGGCTCACTGCAACCTTCTCCTCCCAAGTTCAAGCGATTCTTCTGCCTCAGCCTCCCAAGTAGCTGGGATTACAGGTGTGTGCCACCATGCTGGCTACTTTTGTATTTTTAGTAGAGATGGGGTTTCACCATGTTGGCCAGGCTGGTCTCGAACTCCTGACCTCAGGTGATCTGCCCACTTCAACCTCCTAAAGTGTTGGGATTACAAGAATGAGCCACCATGCCCAGCCCATACTTAACTAATATTATCCTTGATTTGCAGATGAGGAACCTTATGCAAAGAAGTTGAGTAAATTGTATAAGACCGTATTCTAAGAGGTGGTGGAGTTAAAATTGGAATCCAGACCACGTAAGCCCAAAGGCTGTCTCATAATTCCTACCATGCTTTTCTCATTCTCCTTTTACTTTGCCGGCCCTATTGTTTCACTACTCAAAAGCTATAATATTTCCATTTCTTTTATAAATGGCAAGCTTATCTCACAATGTAAATATTCACTTGTAGAGTAATTTACTCATGAGTGGCTCCAACTCGGCATCTCCGACTCTCCTTTGTTACTCAAAATGCTTGCTGAAAAGTTCCACTTGTGCCTTAAAGTGTTATCACTTTGAATTCAAAATGTGCTGTGGCCGTTTAAAGAAGGGACAAAGAAGACAAAGTCTGCTTCATCATAATTCAGACAGTTCTATTAGTACTTGCCCAGTAATTAAGGCTAATGATATGTCTCCCAAAACCTTTGGCTAATGGCATTTTAATATTCACTGTCATTTTTATCCTTTTTCTATATGTTCTCTTTTTGTTATTGTTCACTATAAGCTGTACTCAACAGTTTATATCAAGTTGTTTTTTTTTTTTTATTTTGTTAGTCACTTTCCCACGGGAAAGATTCTCAGTATCTAGTTTTACCACCATTCTTTCTCTTCCACAATTCCTGTCTTAGTCAATTTGTGTTGCTATAAAGGAATATCTGAGTCTGGATAATTTAGAAGGAAAATTATCTCATGTTTTTGCAGGCTGTACAAGGTGCGTGATGCCCACATATGCTTTGATTAGGGCCTCACACTGCTTCCACTCATGGCAGAAGGCAAATAGGAGCCAGCAAATGCAGAAACCCTATGGGCAAGAGAGAGGCAGGAGGTTCCGTGCTTTTTTTCCCCCCTGAGATGGAGTCTCGCTTTGTTGCCCAGGCTAGAGTGCAATGGCCAGATATCGGCTCACTGCAACCTCTGCCTCCAGAGTTCAAGTGACTCTGCCGCCTCAGCCTCCTGAGTAACTGTGGGACTACAGGGGCATGCCACCACACCCAGGTAATTATTTTTATTATTATTTATTTTATTTTTAGTAGAGATGATGTTTCACCATATTGGCCAGGCTGGTCTCAAACTCCTGATCTGGCGATCTGCCCGCCTTGGCCTCCCAAAGTGCTGAGATTATAGGCCTGAGCCATCACGCCTGGCTGATTCCATGCTTTTTAAACAACCAGCTCTGAGGGGTACTTCAAGTGCTTCAAGGGCCCCACTCACTACCAAAAGGAGTGTACCAAGACATTCATGAGGAATTTGCCCCCATGGACAAAATACTTCCTATTAGGCTCCACATCCAACACTGGGGATAAAATTTCAACATGAGTTTTGGGAGACAAGCATTGAAACTGTAGCATATCCTTACTTCATTAATTTTTTAAAAATGTCGCTTTTCAGTAATGCAGCAGTATTACTCTTCTGGTAAGATTTTAAGGCCTGTATTCTCTAGATAAGCCTGTATGAATTGTTCTAACAAAAGTCCTCCATATGTGTCAAATTATTCCTCAATTATTGCTGTGTAACATCTTCCTTTAAATCCACCTGGATTATTTGGCCACCCTTTTCCAGATATTCCATGTTCACGCCACTCTACTTTTAGTCACATATATATTTTCTTCTCTCTAGAAAAGTGGCTCTCAATTTTTCCAACTATTAAGGTTTTTGTTTTCATCTAAGATTTGTATTAAGACCTAGCATCTCCACAAAACCTCTATTGCTACCCTAGTAGACTGTTGTCTCTGCTCTAAACTCTTAGGTCACTTCGCATGTGTCTACTTATTTGTTTCTTACCATGCAATAGTAGTTTGTGCTTTCTATTTATTTCTATTTTTAGTCCTATCATACACACTATATCTTATTACTCGTATGTGTGCAGAATCATTTATTTGCATAACCATTCTGTAACACAGAGTTTAGAATATATTAGGTATTCAAATATGAGGTTGCTGATACACACAAAGTATTTCAGCAAAACCAGTTTGAAAATATAAATAAGTATATTAATTAAAATGCTTAAAAGTAGATCTAATTAATGTACTTTAAACAGACAACTAATTTATCAGATTAAAAATGTTACACATTTTGAAGGTGATTTATCAAAAAGCTGATTTTAAAATGTGATTGTTTTGCAAAAATATTTTGCTGTCCCAAATTTTTGACTTATAACTAATTAACCATGAATATATATTTCAAAGTGTGGTGAGTGAATCAACTGAAATAAGAAAATAAAAAGGTTTGCAAAGCATAAACTCAAGAGAAAAAAAGCCAATATATTAATCAAGGTTATTTAAATGTCATTGAAATTGCAGGTTTTTTAATGTTTATACTTTTTACTTTCAGAATTTGTTAGTACTTCAAGTTTATTTAAAATACTTTTGGTTTGATTGTTTAATGGGTAAAACAATCACTGTTTAATGGGCTATATTTTTAGTGTTTTTAAATAAAATGTATTTAAAAAAACAAATGAAATACCTAATAAAAATTCAACTTTAATGAAATTCAAAAAGCTATTCTACCAATTGCCTTGCATATTTTTTAGGATGGTGCCATAGAAGAAACATGTTTCTTGTATTCAGAATATCAGAATTTGAGTGCTTGCTTTTTATCTGTAAATTTGTGTATATGATTTAATCAACCTGAATTTCAATATTATAATCTATACTATTAAAATTTGATTACTGGCATTTCTGGGTTGTGGGTAGACATAAGATAATATATATGAAAACACATTATGCAACTCTTGGAAAGTACTGAACAGCAAATATTGATTGAATCTGAATATAAGGAAGCATTAAAGCAAAAAATTTGAATGTATGTTTAGATTATTCTTCTATATATTCTAACCCAATTATAAAAGACAATATACTTATAATTGAAAGTGGGATTCTATGTAGATATTACAACTGATACCACCAAAATCCCAAGAATAAAATGAGCTACTATAAACAATTGTATACCAATACATTTGATAACCTAAAATAAATGGATAAATTCCTAGAAATATACAGCCTACCAAGACTGAATCATGAGCAAATAGAAAATCTGAACAGACCAGTGATGAATGAGTAGAGATTAAATCAGTAATCAAAAAATTTTCAACAAAATTAGCCAAGGACCTGATGCCTTCAATGGTGAATTCCAACAATCATTTAAAGAATTAACACCAATCCTTCTTACACTCTTGCAATAAATTAAAGACAAGGGGACACTTGAAAACTCATTTTGTGTGACCAGCATTACCCTGATACCAAAGCCAAACAAGGACATTACAAGAAAAAAATTACTGGTTAATATTACTGATGAACTTGGATACAAAAATTCTTAAACTACTAGCTAACAAAATTCAACAACACATTAAAAAGGTCATACACATGGTCAGGTGGGATTTATCCCAAGGATGCAAAGGGAGTTCAACATATGCAAATCAGTAAATGTGATAAATCACAATAAAAGAATGAAAAGTAAAAATGATACAGTCATCTCAACAGACACAGAAAAGGCATTGACAAAATTCAAAATTATTTTATGATAAAATGCCTTAAAAATTAGGTTAGAAGAAATGTATTTCAACATAATAAAGGCCAAATATGAAAAGCCCACAGCTAAACATAATACTCAATGGTGAAAGCTGAAAGCTTTTCTTTAAGATCAAGACCAAGGCAAGGATGCTCACTTTGACGACTTCTATTCAACAAAGTGTTAGATGTCCTTGCCAGAGTAATTGTGCAACAAAAATAAGATTACCCAAATTGGAAAGGAAAAGGTTAAATTGTTTCTCTTTATACATGTCCTGATCTTACATGCAGAAAACCTTAAAGACTCTAACAAAAAAATTTAGAACTAGTAAACAAATTAAGTAGTTTCAGGATACAAAATTAACATACAAAAATAAATAGTGTTCTGTAGAGTAGCAATAAACCATACAAAAAAGAAATTTAAAAAACCTAATTAACAGAATAAAAATACTCAGAAATAAATTTAACCCATGAGGTAAAAGATCTGTACATTGAAAACTGTAAAACATTGATGAAAGAAATTGAAGACAGAAACCAATGGGAATTTTTCTCATGTTCTCAGATTGGAAGAATTTGTATTGTTAAAATGTCCATATTACCCAAAACAATCTAAAGATCAAATGCAATGTCTATCAAAAATCTAAAACAATTTTATTGAAACAGAAAAAATAATCCTAAAATTCATATAGCATCACAAGAGGCCCCCAAAGACATAGCAGTCTTGAGCAAAAAGAACAAAGCTAGAGGCATCCTGCTAGCTGATTTCAAAACACTCTATAAAGCTATGCTAATCAAACAGTATATTACTGGCACAAAAACAGGCATATAGACCAATGCAATAGAATAGGGAGCCCAGAAATAAATCCACATATATATAGTTAATTGATTGTTAACAAATGAGCCAACACCATCTAATGGGGAAAGACAGCCTGTTCAATAGTGGTGTTGAGACAACTGTCTGTCCACATGCAGAGGAATGAAATTGGGCAATTATCTCCCTACCATATACAAAAATCCACTCAAAATGGATTAAAGGCTTAAATATAAGACCTGAAACTTCAAAACTATTAGAAGAAACCATAGCAAAAAAAAATTATTGACACTGATCTGAGCAATGATTTTTTTTTATATGTCCCCGAAAGGACAGGCACCAAAAGCAAAAATAAACATTCATTTTGGAAGGGATAAACTAAAAGCCATGTGTATACAGACATTCATTTTGCAGAGTGAAACATATTTACCACAAGAAGAATTTTAAATAGGGTTTTCATTTAAATTTTATTTTCAGTTATATTGAGGGCCTGTCCTATTCTAAATGTCTTTCTCCAAATCATGCTCACATCACATATTTCTTTTCATGTCCTGATTATAGCTACTCTAAGTCTAAAGAAGAAAGTGACTGGAAGCATTTGTTTCACATAGTCACAATCTGTAAAGATAAGCAAAGCAATTTGATTAGATGAAATTCCTAAGAATTTTCATCCATTTCCCTGAAGTCTTCAGCAAGTATACCTTCAATCTAGGAAGAACAGCAGCAGTTCTCCCTGTTAGTCTATATGTTCTCAGTAGCAGAAAAAAAAAAAAAGAAAGAAAGAAAGAAAAAAACTGGAAACCTGGAGGCTACATTTACAGGAATTCTGTTCAGTATTTCTTCTTTTGTGTTTTCAACATGTGCATTTCATTTGGAGGAAATGGTAGACATATGGTTTTGATTCGTTTACACTCAGTTCATAAAAGTTCTGTGTTTTAAAAGGTATTTGATGTCCACAGAATTTCTGAGCCTTTTTATAAGCCAGTTTATAAAAACCAGAAACTTATATTTTGCTAGTATATGAGATAAAATATCAAATGGTTTATATTTGATAAAGTAAAACTCTCAAATCTATGAATGGATATATATTACAGAATTACTTTTTATTTCCACTTTCTTACCCCTAGGATTTTGTTTACACATTCTCAGTAAAGTATTGAATTAATTATTTACAAATCTCATTAAAATGTTTTTTAGTGAATTATATGGCTAATTCATTGTGTTTTAGTTTTTTTGTTTGGAATACACAAAATTTTCATCCAAATTCCACTGAACTTCATGCAAACATTTTTATAATCTTATAGCATTTATTTTGAAAATGAGACCATTAATTTGAGCTGTTTGTATTCTGCTGACTGGTTTGTGTTATTAGGCAGTTCCAGAAGCCTGAAACATGTATTTTAGAAAATTGTAATTGTAAAAAACTTTTAGTGCTATAGTTTGCAATTAATTTTTTCACAAAATTGTTTGTCCAAGTGAGAAGTCTAATTAGTAACTTGAGTATTATTTAGCACTAAATAATTCAGAAATTCAGAACACCTTATAGGCAA